CAACCCTGGTTAAAAATATAGAACCTCGTGTCACTTCGCATTTCGCGTATCGCGTAACGCTCTATGCGACCATCTAATAATCGCTCTAACAGAGGAACGTTCGGGGGTGACCCTCACCGATTTCGATGTGCTTCGGATATGTTGTAGAGCATAAAAGAATATTAGACCCGTATTTTTTTTAGCGGTTTTTACCCGACGTTTAGGGGGTGAAACGGCCCCTCGAAAATAACGGATTTTTTCCCCCATTTTTTAATGAATATCTTGGAAACTATAAGGTTTATGAAAAGATGTTTTGGACAAAGGTTTTTATTGTTTTTCCTAGTCTTCGCAATGGCGTAATCACATTTTTCAAAAATGTCAAATTTTTTTAATTCTCGAAGATATTCATAAAAAATAAAAAACTCCGTTATTTTCGAGGGGCCGTTTCACCCCCTACACGTCGAGAAAAGTCGCTAAAAAAATACGGGTCTAATATTTTTTTATGCTCCACGACATATCCGAGGCTCATCGAAATCGGCGAGGGACACTTCCGACCGTTCTCTTGTAACTTGATTTTGTACGCGAGACTTTTATGCGAGATAAAAGTAGAACACGGAAGTGGACGACTATAATAAGCGCGCGTCAAGCGTAGTGTATTAAAGGGAACTAATTATCTTCACCTAATACAAAGTGTCAGGGTGTACGTTGGTTCTCATACCGATTTCTTCTCGTGACACTCCCAAGAGCTCGGGTATACAGCTTTGCACTCACACAAAATCGCGAAGATGACTCATGCAACTGGAGCCCAGCGTTGCGCCCCGGACAGGAAGTGAGAGGTCGTGTAAGAGTGCTATGTAATACTTTGGATGCGTTTAAATCGCAAAACAGGTTTGGGAATATGGGAATTAAAGTATAAACTGGCCGAGCAGACTCTCGGGACGTCACTGGAATTGGAACGACAAGATAAAAGGGAAACGTGTGCGGCAACATTTTTCTTTTGTTTGTTATAAATTACTGTAGGAGGTAAACACAATCAGTCAGCTGCAATGAGAACTGCACAGTCTAATAAAAATTTTTTCACGTTGCTCTAATATCTCTCTAGATATAACATATTTCGTACGCATCTCGCGATAAAAAAATTGAGTGCATTTTTTTTAATTTCTTGTAATGTTCTACTCTACCGAGACTGCGCGTTGTAAATTTCTTCATTTATCTTAATACAATGTCACTCGTACATTTGCCAAAATTTGTTTATATGATTTTCCCCGCGGGGTAAACAACTGAGGGCATTGTGGTGCACAGATTCACGGCATTACTGGGCATTACTAGGCATTTTTTGGGTATTAGTCTGTGCATTAGGCCTTGCTGGGGCATTATAAAGATAAAATCGAGGGGGAAACCGCTGACCAAAATCTTGTACACCAATGCCTACTAATGCCCAGTGGGCATTACTTTATTATCTTATTTTATCTTATTTTAAATTCAAAAAAGATAAAACAAGATAAAATAAGACAAAGCAATGCCCACTGGGCATTAGTAAGCATTGATGTACAGTGCGATGCATAAATTCGAGTCGTGTATCAAAAAGTACACTGAGAAAAATTTTCATCGGATAAACCACTTGAGTAGTGTTTCCGATGGTTAATTTTTCCGATTACGTTTTCCGACTAAATTATGGATACGTCCGATGAAATTTGATTGGAAAACCAATCACATTTTTCACCGGATACACCCATTTGTTATTATGTAATTGGATTATTCGATTATATTTAATCAGACATTTTTCTCCGTGTATCTAGGTTTAAATAATCAAGTAATTTCTGTCCATCTTCAACTATCACCCGAGCCGAATTAACGCACCGTACTTGTACATGGTTTTTTGGCGAGCGGTTTACCCCTCGGATTTTCCTTAAAAGTACACGCTTTAATTATATAATACAATTAATTTTGTCCCTGTCCATTCGCTCTCACGCGTCTGTCTAAAAGAACAAAATATCCTGAAATAACGCGTCCCGCATATCCCACATCTCTCGTACACTCCACTCCCGAAAAATTGATACTTAACTCCCGACGATTTGTCACTTTCGAGTTTGACGTTGGCAGCTATCGCTTCCCCGTCGTAAATCGACGCGAGGCGAGCGCGCGATTTTTATTCGGGCGTAGCCGATATTTTTCGCGGCGACACGCCAATCCCGAGCCCCGTAGAGCGTGCCCGAAGCGTGACCTCGCTTATGGTTGCGACGCGCGCGGTGCATGCCGATGTTCACCAGGTGCACATCTGCAACCGCATGGGGGATGCGTCGTCGGCGTCGCGCGCGCGATCAAAACAAGTAGGTACGCCGACGACGTATTCCTTCGCGTTTCCTCGGTGAAATTCAATATCTGCCGGAGATATTCGATACGCGACTCAGACGCGACCTTGTCGACGGAGCAGCTCGACAAATGCGGGGCACGTAGGTGATTTTAGCGAGATGATCGTATGCGGTTGAACGTCGCTCAGCCGCGAAAGGCCCGGAAAAGACTCCTGGGAGACGGTCCTGGCGCGGAAAGTCAGGGAGATTGAAAACGGTCAGGAAGTATCGCGAGGAAATTACTCGCACGAAAAACGAGAACTTTATTGCCGTGGCCGCTGTTGCATATCCGATGTAAGAGTAATCGAACCTCGCTACCATGGCGAAATTATTTGATATTACAGCGAAATGGCGTATATTGAAAAATCCAGCCCTGAGTAAATTTGCTCGTAGAATCCGCCACTAAAGCAAATTTAATTTGCCGCTAAAGCAAAATAGGGTCTATCTCTAGCAAATATTGCTGTTGCAGCGAAGCAATTTGCTGTTACGGCCGCGAGCCCTGAATGATACTGCAATTTTTACGCGTTGCGGCGTCAAGTTACAGTTTCCCCGCCCGGCGCGATTTCACGCAATCTTGTAATAATCGTTCCACTCGGTGAGCGCGACTGTTGGGAACAATATATCGCGACACCCGATATAATGAAATTAATATACTCTCCGCGGCGCGATAAACGAGCGGCTAACTGTCCGCAAGTACCGCCGGTGCCTCCTTGATGCGTTAATGTATTAACCGAGGATCGTTCGTAATTATCGGACATTATCGAGTGATATAATTAGTTACTTGAGTATTATGGAGCGACGTAATTATGCTACTACCGTATCTCCGACGACTTCCTGTTTGTACGCGAAATAGTTGCCGTAACTGACGTTAACGCGCGTGTTTCATTTCGCCCTTAAAACAAATAAACGGAGGAACGTAATAACAAACGTCCATAGTTTTTCAATTGTCCGTGTCTCTCTCTTTTAAGCGATAGGTGTACGGCCGTAGTCCTGACACGTTTGTTTTATCTCGAGCTTGGTAATCGACTGCCCCGCCGATGTCTGTCTTTTGTTCAAATGTAAAATATTGCTGCGCAAATGATCGTTTAATTGGAAACGATTGAGAATAGGAAGACTCTAATAAAGACCGCAGTTATCGAAATGCCTTGAAAATTACATTGAAATTTAGGGGGGGCGGACATCTCGCATGCGCAACCAGAGGAATATATACTTAAAACGCAAATGAGATGTGTCATATTTTTATCTAGGTAAGCCCTGCATTAAAAGTACTTTTGCTTGCTCGGCATGGCGAGATGAAACGTTCCCATTACGAGGATTTCGCTGCGAAAACGTTGACGTTTTAACGATTGGACGAGATTACAGGCCACTATCGATTGGATGAAGGCGAGTGGGTTTATGTCATCATCTTTAACGTGTTTTAACCGAGTCAGCATTCGTTTTCATTAGCTTCTCCTCTTCAAAATAACAGATTTATCTGCAAAATCGAATTAGCTTCGCGCACGAAATTCGGAGTACGTAAATTTGCGTTAAATAAATGCGGGATAAAAGTGGAATAAAAATAAGAGGTGAACCCCCGTAAAAGATTAAACGCCGCGGTTAACGGCAGGACATGCTCGCACGACTTGTCATTAATTCTTGGTTAATCGTGGATGGATTTTCCCCCCTTCCTTCCCTTCTCAGGGAAAATAACGCAACGCTTTACAAAATACGTCTTACAAGTGCGTGACCTATCTTATAAATAAATATTTACTGTATATTGGTCGATAAGTTCGCTATATTACCCGGCAAGAAAGTTTACGTTTAATGGGAAAGGAAAATATACGCTTATACTATATCAAAGGAAAATACACACTGTGTGTGTGTGTACTCTAGTCACGTCGTAGGAATAATGCACTCAATCGTCTCTCTGCATCTCTTTACCCGCTTTTATTCGCTAAATACATTTCCTTTTCGTAAACGAGCCAGGCGTTTCTTTTCTTTCCTTTTTTTTCTTCTTCTTTTAAATCAGGCAGTCCCGTAAAGCGAATAAACTACTTGGCGCATTCTGCCCGTCAAAGATTTAAATTCACGCGAGTAGGTACACGTTTATCGGGGCGGAAAACGTTTTAACCACCCCGTTTCCGCTTCTTCGGTCTACATGCAGCCGCTTTCAAATATTCTCTCTTACTTTGTGTTGCAGGCGGTGTCGGAGAGGCTCGAATTGGCACCAGCTGGCGGAAGATCAGAGCCTCAGGTGAGTACCGTGTGAGAGACTTCGTTCTAGTCTTATTCCCTTTTCGACGAAAACACCGCAGAATTATACACTCCGCGAAAATTCGTCGTTCACTTAGTCTTTATTACCTTTCGCACTCAAACGAAACAGCCTCTTGTCTATTTAATTAGATTATTGGCTATAGATTTGTCGAAATAACATTTGTCGGACGCTTTATTAAAGCTACATATGACATTGCATAGCGTAAGAAATAGACTTCCGAACGGCAGTTCGTTTTCTTTTATTATAAAAATGTACGTCAGAGGAAAAAGTGTATACGCTGCGAAATAGAGTAAACGTGCACAGTTGAAAAAGTTTTGTTAAATTTAACAGATATCACATGTCTCAAACGGTCCACACAAATTTCTGTGTTAATTTAACATAAAATGAATATGTTAAATGATCGCACTAATACTCTGTTAATATTTTAACACAAAATAAATCTCAAAATAATTTGAAATAAATTTTCTGTGAAATTAACATATTTTTATTGACAAAATGAATTTAAAAAAAATGTAATTTTTACATTTTACAGATGTAATAAGTGAAATGACTCTCACTTATGTTATAAAGAATGAAATCAACATTTCGTTCTGTAAATTTTAACAGATAAATCTTGTTACTAATAATATAGAACATATGTATTGTGTAAGATAAAAAAAGAAGTACACATTGTGTTGTTTCAACATTTCTTTTCACTTGTTTTAATAATTTTACATTTGAGGTCAATTAACACAAGAGCAATACGTTAAATTAACACACGAATGTGCTAAACATTTAACACAAAAATTTTAACCGGCACTTTCTTTAACAAGAAAACCCAAATTTTCCAACTGTGTGTGCATGCGTGCATGTCGTCGCCCCCGTCAAACGGTTCTTAACGATCGTAAAGGAAACAAGAAAGCAAGGAAGAAAAGATTATTGCTCCCCGTAATGTCCGTTCGCCGAAAAGGCTGTTAATTAAGATAATCGGCTTCCCGAAAAGCGAGACACTTTGATGAAGTTGTTGACTGTGCCAAATGTGTTTTCCGCTTGGAGGCTAACGCGTGCCTTTAATGACCGTGTCTTTCCTCAACGAAGGTCGCTACCTTGTGCGAGCCTGGCGAGGTATACCTCGCTCAGCACATGGGAGAGCAGGGTCGATGGGTCTCCTCGACCGACAAGAAGAGCTGCATGACGGACAAGCTGGAGATCCTGGAATATTGTAAGAAGGTAGGGAAAAAAAAAGTCTATAAGATCACGCAACCATTAAATTCTTTCACACGTATAATGTCGGAGATCGGCGTTAGGCATGTATAGTCGATTAAGAGTTATATATAGACATTAAAAATAGATCTCTGACATTTTTCTATTATCAAACTTTCTGCCTCTCCTCGTCGCATCGTGCCTCCGTCCTCACGAGGAAACGCGCGTAAATATTTTGCTGGCGCGATCATCCGTAGTTGTTAAAAGAAACATTAACGATCCAACTCTCTCCGCCGTGCTCTCGGTTACGTAAGCTAACATCAAAACCCGCCGACTTGGAACGCCGCACGGTTGACTTTAATTACAGTCTCCGAAACTGGCGACGTCGTCGTTCATTGATGCATTCGCTCGTCGTCATTACACGTGAGAACTATTCAGCCTTTTGTCACGTTTTCTTTGGGTATCGAACAGGTAGTCTGTGGTTTATTGAAAAAAAAAAAGTGACGGTAAGAAAGGATTAATGGTGGATAATGACCGTATCGTACACGCGATTTGCATTCCGAGTCCTTCGTAACTGGAGCGCGGTGAAAGGCAAGACTGGCGTACGGAATAAGGGACGTTCTCCGTCTCGCTTATGCGACACGTTCGCGCAATTCACTGTGTGTATAACACAGAGACAATTGTGTAGCCGGCATACGCGTACGTGTCCGTATTTGCTCATGCACGAGGCACGAGAAGACGAGCTATTGTCACCGTTGATCGCCGATCGATAGGAATCGCTGTTCCTCCGGGAAACATGAAGATATAAATTATTCGACTCGATCCTTAACCCTTCGGTCGTCGCGTTATTTTTCGAAACACGAGTCTTGAGAGACCCTAAAAAACATCGGTGTCTATTTAGTAATGCATTCGAATGTTGTAACATTTATTGGTGTATGTACGATTCGTCTGATAGCAATTTGTCATTTATTCATTTATTTTATTTTATTGGTGGGGCGGACCGCACGCGAGTGCAAAGCCCCGCCTTCCGAAACTTTGACGGACACGTTGTGTCACACTGTGAAGTGAGTTGCATTATTTATCGGTAAATATATGCAATTACTCACACAGCATTCGATTGCTTGCACTAGCGCGCACTGCGTGCACACTAAGGCCTGTTTATGGACAATTTTTATTTATCTGTGTCTTAAATACACGTTTAAAGAATATTTAGCCAAAAAGTAATCCGTACGGATGCTATGCAGGCCATTTTACTGGCTGGGAAATATTTCAAGGGATATGCAAGGCGAACCTTAAATATAAGAATTGACTGCAAACGAGCCTCGGTGTGCACTTAGTGCGCACTAGTTGCGAGCAACCGAATTCGCGAATATATTTTTCAATACGGGAAATTACTTATGTCCGACTCCATCTAGAGTGTGGAAGCCGATATAACAGGGTGCACCTATCGTGGAAGTGTTCGGAATTGTTCAATTATTTAGATTTCTATTGTGTTTTCTAGGGGAAACGGAATAATTCCGATCGGAATCCATTCCGAACATTTCCATCCTACCCAGTATATCTTCTAATACCTATGCGTAATACTTATTTGTGTATGTACACGTGTACGTATGTACGTATGCATATACAGGGTGTTCCAGGAAGAAAGGTCAATAATCTGGAAACGTTGTTTAACTTTAAGCATAGCTTAATTCGTTCTCTGCCTCTTTTCAACTGTTACTTTAGAAGGAGACAAACATGAATTAAACTAAGTTTAAAGTTAAACGACGTTTGGTGAAATTGGGCCTTAGAGTATAGCGCAGTACAAATACATGAAGCTTGCCCCACCAATAAAACGAAATAAACGTAAACAGTTATCAGACGAAAGTGACTAAGCCAATGAACTTGGGTATTTTCTTGGTCTTGTAATTTCGTAGTGTCCTATGCATACTTGATTTTTCCGGCTACAATGAGCTTACATTTTCATCACATTTATATTCAACAGTTGTGTTTTCCTCGATTGCGTTAACTTTTACGTGCCACTCGGTCGTAATTTTTCGTATTAAAAAATATAGTTAATCACTTATATTTAATAAAGATAGAGAAACAAACATTTTATTATTTCTGCAATAATTTTTCGAAGATAGTTTTAAAATATTGCCTCGGCAAACGAACGAAAACAAATGTAGATTGTAATACAGACTTGCAATTGACAAATATCAGACGAAGACTGGGCCAGAATTTGCGCCGAGAATTCAAATATTTTCGTTTTTTTTAAGGCGACCGAGTATGTAAGAAAATGCTTTATTTTGAAGACGAGGGTTAATTTCGTAAACGAAGGGATTATTAATCAGAAGATCGAGACGAGACTTTCGAATCTTCGTTCTCGACTGGGCGATTATTTAGAGAGAAAATCGGGCCGCTCGCTCGCGTATTATTATTATAATTAAGGCCGGGCGCGTTATTTCACATCGCGACCAGCGGTGCTGCCGCTGCCCTGCAGCCAGGATTAAGTCGTTTATAATCTTCCGGAGCAGCGTAAATCGAATTTTCATCCCTTCGTTGACGCGCTTCAGTCGTGACAAAACACAGAATTACGCGGTTCGTTACCTTTCCCGCCGTTCCACCGTGAAAATAACGTTAATCCTCGCCGATGACTTTATTGCGCCGGTCCACAGTCGTTGCATCGCGAATTATGTCGTGCCTTGCGTTAAATTTCTTCGCGTTAATATGTGAAAGCTCGCTAAGTACACGGTATTCGCGTGCCGTCTAATCTTTCCTCGCCGGTAGTTCGCGAATACCTACGTTAATCTTCATCAAGAGATTAAAAGACGGGAGTTTCCGAAAATCCAGTTATTTGAGTCCGCCTTCAAGTTGATCGCAACGCAAAATGTAAGTCGGGAGAAATTCTCACGAATTAATTGAATTTCGACAGTTCTGTGTACGGCCGACAAAACCCTTATCGACGCGCAGTTCACAAAAGTCGAAAATATACGCGTAGACAACATCTGTATACGATTATCGCGACAAATATTATGGCTCGGTGGTCGAATTGGTGAGACGTTCGCCTAGAGTGTAGAGAGGGTCCAGGTTCAAACCCTGGGCTGAGATAATAGTTTTCGCAATAAATTGTCTGTATTATTGAAGATGCCAGGTGTATGGTCAAGAAAACACTGACGTTGTTAATTACCGCTGGCCACATTGAAAAATTCTGATTAGTAAATGAAATTTAGCAGAATAGTAAACGGCACACGCGACTCTTTCACTGCCGTTTCCTCGATACTTTTATAAATTATTACAATTAATTGAACACAGTCAAGAATGAATTTTTTATGTTGATTCCCGTTTCGTGGTTACAAAGAAATACACACAGATTTCACACGGCTGAACCGCGTTATCGATCCGCTGCTGGAGCTAACGTCGTACAACGCCGAGTCTTATTAGATTTAATTTGCACATTGCGCGAACACCAGGTCGCGAAACGGCTCGCAGGGCAGGGTACGTACACGTTTTTGCGGCCTCTTAAACGGAGATTAAGCAGTCGCTCGTCCGCGATAATAATAGGTTCGCCGAGTGTGCGTGTGCGCTCGATAATTGCCTCCGGGCGCGCGACTGCAGGTCGGTCGGACCACCTGCTAATGTGGTACTTACACCCCGACGCCTGCCTGACAATTTCTTCTCTTTCTCCTAGGCTTACCCGAAGAGAGACATCACCAACATCGTCGAGTCGTCGCATTACGTCAGGGTGAGCGGATGGTGCAAGCCCGGAAGGACCAAGTGCAAGCTCTCCCGATGGGTCAAACCTTACAGATGTTTGGGTGAGTGCGGTGATTTTACCGGCGATCACTTTTGCGCGTGATGCAACCGCTCCACGTCAAGGGGGTAACCACTTGATGTAATCGCGGGACAGTGTCTCCGAAATCATTACTAACGGCTCTTAGGGCCAGTTTCACAAATGTCGTTTAACCGCTAACCCATGGTTAATTGATCCTCTGTCTCTTCTTGGATAACAAGATAGAGAAAGATAGGAAGATGACTGAACTCTGGTTAACAGTTAACCGACGTTTGTGAAACTGGACCTTAACCGCGTCGCCTATTTTCAAACGTGCATACAGGAAAATTATTTACAATTGGATGAAATTATGTGTAATCGTATGAAATCGTACGACATCGAATGAAATCGTGTAATCGGTGGGGCAACATTTTAGCCAGTGGTTACTCCCTTGGCTTCCGTGAGCGCCTGTCGTCGTCGTCGGCGCAAATGCCCTTTTCGCCAGATTAAAGATTAAATCTATGTAATTTTCGCCACATGTGTGTGTGTGTGTGTGTAGGCGAGAAAGAAGGTCACGCCAATTTCCGCGATATCCGCGATCAATCTCTTTTTTTGGGTCAGAATAAAGCGGTAATCTGTCACGGATATCGTGAGACACGTAAAACCGCGCGGCGCTGTCCGAGCGGGATATCGAAATCAATATAATAATGTAACTGTCAGCATATATGCCAATACCATCGGCGTGGATTTCTGTTTACGACAATATAGTATGGATCTCAATCTCGATGTTCGCCGCATCGATATCGCCCGGGCCATCGGCGCGCGCGAATGGCGGGACGTATATACCGTAATACCCATCGGCCTGGCAGTCGTAAAAATTCTCCCGCGGGACTTCGATTCTTGGGCCGGCTTTGAAAATCGCCGGGAGGCGGGATGAGGAGCCGGGCGGGCAGAGAGGAGCCGCGGATCGATCCTCGACGATGCGGCAGCGGCGGCGCGCGGGCCGCGGCCGTGAGAAACGCAGAGAGAGAGAGAGAGAGATCGATCTCCGGCGGCGGAGATTTAGTTATAAATTTAGCGGGACGCGCGCGCCCGATCCGCTCTCCGGACGGAAGAATTCAATTTGTAGAGTCAATACGCTGTGTAACGGACAACGCGATATCTGCTGTCTGGATTGTCCGCCCGGCTGCCTTCCTGATCAGCCTTTTTATCGCGCTGAAAAACGAAAGAAACTGTCGCGAAACGTGACGTCGCGCAGCGGCGGGATTCAAGATCGCGCCTGCTTCCCCCTTTCTTTTTCCCTCCCGCCGCCCCCTCGCCCCGTGCTGTCCTCCCGCGTATGAGCACTCGGCTTCTCTCGAGGCAATTGTACCTTTATTGCTGCACCTCGCGAGTCCTCTTCCGACGCGATTGAACGATTCGCGGAGGGGAGGCGGATCCGTAATTTATTAAGTCCGTTTTAGGCACGGCGTTACAGTGGACCTCATAAATTATAAACTTACTTCGTTTCCGCGCGGAACTTTTCAATTTGCAGGGAGTATTTAATTGCGGAATATTCTGAATCGAAATAACGCGAGAAGTTTGAGGGGACGGCGAGGGGGAGGCGTGGGACGTTTAAGATGAAGGAAGCATGCATTTATGCAGGCGGCATCTCGCTATTACAGAATGTAATACCCGATTTTATTTTAAACAGGAGCTTTAACGTGAGTTTAATTAGCGCGGTAATGTATTTAATTGGAGACCGAGAGGAGCCGCGGGAATAACGGGGATAATTTACTTCGAGGGTTCTCTCAAAAGGAGCCAACTCCCAAATTCGTCTCGCAAATCGCCGTTAAGTCTCGATTCGAGACACGTAACGCACTTGACGAACAATATGATTCAACGTCCGCGCCTTTCTCTACTTTAAGTGCCTCCTTTGCCTACTTCTAAGCGCCATTAAAATGAATAATTGAACCGAAACGTGAATAGAGTAAACGAGGCAAAACACGTCGGTCGTCGGTGATGCGTTCCCTCGAGCGCGATCCCGTAAGTCGTAAGTGAACGATACCGGCAGTCACTTATTCGTGGACGTTTTACAGGACGAGGAACTCTGGGTTGGACACGCCGTTAGACGCTCGAGATCCATGTCTCATTTTCTAATCGCGTTAGATAAACGCCATTATTCCGGTATGCTGGCCACGTGTAGATGGTCACGGCCAGGTTCTCTCGACCGTCTTCGATTTGCGTGTCCCGCACGTCCTTTCAGAGCGAGAAAGAGAGATCCATTAACCGCTTCCTCGTCGAGCGGTCTCGGGAGAAAAACCGACCGTGGAACGTCAGGTTGTTTTATTGTGTTTAATTTTTATTAAATTATTTTTTACGCCTCGATAAAGCTTGCCGCGAAAATGTGCTCGTCTATGTTTGCCTCACGTAACTTCCGCCGGCGCTCTTGTAAGGAGAACGACACGCGAGAGTACGCGGACAAATCGGCCGAGTGGTTAATACCCTCGAAGAGTCTGCGTGACTAGTTCTATTGATCAGCGGTGGTGAACGTACCGATGCGTCATCCGCTGGACGCGTGTCCATTCCGCCGTCTCTTCTTCTCTTTCTCTCCTCTACCTTTCGCGCGCCTTCTTCTGGCGCGCCTGTGAAAGTAGCAGGCGTTTAAGGGCCGGCTACATCGGAAGTAAGCAGTAAGAATTAAGAAAATCGTAACCTTTGCTTATCAGTGTAAAAGCTGAGGTACAGGCATAATTGTTTAAAATAATTGTAGCACTGGTCGAACTGCGCTCCAACTCGCCGAGAGTAAAGCGTCATCTACAATAACCGGCGTAAGCGTGGAGTAAGAAGTGAGAGTAGGCGTAAGAGAGCTACTTCCGG